TAATATCTATACAATGGTTGTTTGTTACTTTGATTACTATGATGCATGTGTTGTGATACTAAGCATGACGTCCTCCGCCCCCGAACGTTTCTGCTGTTCCGGTGTGGGGGTGTGACAGGGGAGAACTGGTTATTTTTGGCGACGGTACCAGGATTAGGTCAGTTTTTTGTTATGCTACCAGGGCTCGGCATTATATTCGTCATGGTTTTATTGGCTATCTTGCATATGTGGCTGATACTCGAGCTAGGAAGCAGGCTTTGGTTTTAGATGTGCATGTTGTCTAAGAGTTTGTTGATGTGTTCCCGGAGGAGTTACTCGGTGTGCCTCCTAAGAGGAAGGTTGAGTTCAAGATAGATTTGGTTCCAGGTGCAGCTCCAATTGCTAAGGTACCGTACCGATTAGCATCACCTGAGATGCAGGAGTTGTCCTCCCAACTTCAGGAGCTGTTGGGCAAGCAGCTTATTAGACCGAGCAGTTCGTCGTGCGGAGTGCCGATTTTGTTCGTAAAGAAGAAAGACGGTTCACACCGGATGTGCATTGATTATCGGGAGTTGAACAAGTTGACAGTGAAGAACCATTATCCCCTTCCTCGGATTGATGACCTCTTCGATCAGTTTCAGTGGTGCATCTTGGTTCTCTAAGATCTATTTGAGGTCAGGGTATCATCAGATGAGGGTTAGGGAGGTGGACGTGGAGAAGACCTCATTTCGGAATCGTTATGGTCATTACGAGTTTGTGGTGATGCCATTTGGACTCACCAATGTGCCTACGGTATTTATGGATTTGATGAATCGGGTTAGCTAGTCGATGCTCGATCGATCGGTCATTGTGTTCATCGATGATATCGTGGTGTATTCCAAGACCAAGGAGCAACACGAGGAGAACCTTTGAGAGCTTCAAGGGGTTTTGGGGCGAGAACGGTTGTACGTCAAGTTCTCGAAGTGTGAGTTTTGGTTATAAGAGGTCAAATTCTTGGGGCATCTCGTTAACCAGAACGGGATTTTGGTTGATATGTCCAAGATTGAGGCCGTGATGCAGTGGGAGGTCCCGAAGTCTCCCTCGGAGATCAGGAGTTTCTTGGGTTTAGCAGGGTATTGTCGGAGATTTATTCAAGGTTTCTACAATATTTCGGTACTCCTCACTCATCTGACGAGGAAGGGCGTGGATTTCCGTTGGGGGGCGGAGCAGCAGGATGCTTTTGAGACCCTGAGACAGAAGTTGTGTGAGGCCCAAGTGTCGACCCTCCATGAGGGTGTTGAGGATTTTGTGGTATTTTGTGATGCATTCATCACCGGTTTGGGAGCGGTGCTAATTCAGAGTGGGAGAGTTATTGCCTTTGCTTCTCGACAGTTGAAGCCGCATGAGGTCTGATATCCGACGCATGATTTGGAGTTAGGATCAGTGGTGTTTTCTCTCAATATTTGGCGGCATTACTTGTATGGGGTCCGGTGTACTATCCACACAGATCACAAGAGTTTGAAATGTCTCATGGATTAGCTGAATCTGAATATGAGACAACGTAGATGGCTTGACGTGGTCAAGCATTATGAGTGCGAGATTATGTATCACCCCGAGAAAGCGAATGTAGTCGCTGATGATTTGAGTCGCAAGACGGCTAGTTATGCTACTGAGAGTCTATGTATGAGGATATAGATTGATTCTCCGCTTCTTGATCTGATTAGGGAGGCTCTGGTCGAGGGATTCAAGAAGGAGAATTGGAAACAGGAGAGACTCAGGGGTGAAATTGACAGTTTTACTACTGACAGTTGTAAATTATTGACCCGGTATGGACAGGTTTGGGTGCCAAATTTTTGTGGGATCAGGCAAACTATGATGGAGGAGGCGCACAAGTCCAGGTTATCGATACACCCTTGATCCACCAAGATGTATCAGGATTTGAGACTTAGGTACTGGTGGTCGTGTATGAAGAAAGAGATAGCATGGTATGTCGAGAGGTGCTTGACATGTCGGATGGTCAAGGCCGAGCACCAGAGGCCGCATGGCAAGTTGCACCATTGGAGGTTCCCATGTGGAAATGGGAACATATCACTATGGATTTCATCACCAAGCTACCTCGGAAGGCTAAGGTATTCGACGCGATATGGGTTATCGTGGACCGTCTGACCAAGAGCGCTTACTTTCTATCCATTCGAGAGAGTTCTTCGTCCGACAAAATTGGCCGACTTGTACGTGTGCGGGATGTTAGATCAGCATGGTATTCTAATCTCTATTGCATCTGATCAAGATATCTGGTTCACATCTTGTTTTTGGCAGAAGTTTTGTAAGGAACTGGGTACGAGGTTGCATCTTTGCACTGATTATCATCCGCAGACCGACGGCCAGAGTAAGTGGACCATTCAGACACTTGAGGACATGTTGAGAGCCTGTGTCATAGACTTCGGTGGGATTTGGGACTCCTACCTTCCCTTAGCTGAGTTCTCTTACAATAATAGCTATCACTCCAGTATCGGTACGCCGCCTTTCGAGCTTCTCTATGGGAGGAAGTGTCGTACCCCAGTATGTTGGGGAGAGATTAGTCATAGAGTCATGGGAAGGACTAAGGTAGTCCTTTAGACGACAGATCTTATTCAGCATATTAGACATAGATTGCAGACATGTCAGAGTCGGCAGAAGAGTTATGCTGACAAGCGTCGATGTGAGTTGGAGTTTCAGTTCGGTGACATGGTTTTGCTAAAGGTATCACCCTGGAAGTGTGTAATACGCTTTAGGAAGAGGGGTAAGTTGGGGCCCTAGTATATTGGGCCATTTCGGGTGATTGCCAGGGTTGGCAAGGTAGCTTATAGGTTGGATTTTCCTGAAGATCTCAGTCAGATTCACAGTACCCTCCATGTTTCCCAGCTCCGGAGATCTGTGGCGGATGATTCAGCTATTGTTCCTTTGGAGGATATTCAAGTTGATAATCTCCTGAACTATCTTGAAAGACCAGTGACAATTTTGGATCAGAAGATGAAGCCCTTGCGCAACAAGGTGGTGTCTTCGGTCAAGGTTCAGTGGCAGCATCGGAAGGGTTCTGAATAGACGTGGGAACCCGAGTCTGAGATACGGGAGCATTACCCTGAGTTATTCACAACATCGGACTTCAAGGACGAAGTCTAGTTCAAGTGGGGGAGAATTGTAACATCTTGTCATTGTGTTATTTCCATTTTAAACGCTAAGTATAAGAAGACAAAGAGGCTTACATGCCTTATTTAAAAAATGGAAAACACATCTTTCTGGGTGGGGGTATTAAATCCTTAACTTCCCTAATTTTAATTTAGTGAGAAAGCGCGTATACTTTAAGGAAGGCGGCGTATTTCACCCCTCATCCGGAGTAGTTTAGTTAGTTGTCAATAGCTTGTGATTCGGAGTTGTCGACCCGTCATTTCCAGTCAATTAAAGGAGCATCTCCTTCTTCATCGCGGTCGCTCAATACGTTGTATCGATAGAGTGACATTTGCCTTACCCCCCCCCCCCTCTACCCGAGGGATCAATAAGCAACCGGGTGACTGGCGAACCACATCTGTTCCAATTCCATAGGCTTTCTCCGATCGAAGTAGGATCAAATGCAAATATTCGATTCCAGAGGAATCGGTTTGGGGGGAACCTCGGGGATTGGGTGTTCGAAGATTTTGATGCCTTCTATTCCGGTCAATGAACCGATATTGTGAGGGAGCAGCTAACCAATCTCATTTATCAGAGAAGTCCATCGGTTTAGAGATTAGTTCATGCTCTTTCATCCCCTCGTTCAAGGAGTCGGAGATGGCTTGGCAGTAAGCGTAGTGGCAGGCAGGCGATAGGATGTTGCAATTTGCCCGGGAGTAGTTGCCGGAAAGGTGTCACCTTGTTTAAAATAGATCCGGATTTAATAAGTGTTCTTATTATAGCATATTCGAATTCATTATTCTCTGTCCCAGTCTTAGAACAACCCAGGATAATAGCCCCGAGGTAGCAGCTTGCTGATGGCATTGAGATAGATCGGTGGTTGGCTTACTGCTTGTTTATGCTTACTCCCACAGCAGCTTCCCCTTCTATCCCATACTAAGAGACTTCTCCCACAAAAGATCGATCGAAGGCCCAGGAAAGTGAGTGCCGTGAATTCCGTTGCCAGTCAAGATCAAGAGTTGTCTGCTCCGGGTAGGGCTCACTCCGGGAAAGGAAAGCTTTGGGCGGAGAGTTCTTCGCATTGAGTGAGGGTAGCTTCAGAGACTCATTCATTTTCATTTAGAGACTCAATGGAAGTTGTTTATTGTTCTAAGGAATGGGAATGAATTCTCTTCCTTTAGGAATAGAGTAGGCAGTATAAGTAGTTTTCTCTTCTAGTCGATCTCTATAAACAAAAAGGCATGGGCAATAACCCGCATCATATGCTATAGACCAGTGGGCACCCCTCAGCCCTCGGATTTGGCAAATGCAGCCAGAGCCGCCTTAGCCTTACTGGCACCTCCGAGAAGTCTACCGCATGTTCATGATGTTCATGTGCAAGCAAGTGTCAGCGGCTCATTCTGAATAAATAAAAGAAAAAGAATCGACTTTCGCAGAGGGCTTCTCCTTTCGCAGTTTGGAATTGTGATCGAACAACTGGAAATGATAACAGAATGCATAGGTCATTAGAAGGAGTTCAAATAAGCGGAGAAATATAGTATACCACCTTACTTCTTTCGTCTATGAGGAATAAATAAAATTGAAGGACCCGCGGATACGTGCAAAACTTTCATTCTTGTTAGCCGGAAAATGGCTCGTGGTAAAGACAAGATATACTTTGACCAGACGTGCTCGGAATCTTTTTGTCGATTCGGGGGAAGTTCTCATACCTTCACCTCTACAATTCGGTAAAACGGCTTCGCCTCCTCGCTTTTGTTCAATTATAAATAAATAACCACTTTAATGGAGATTTATAGCATCATTCAAGTAAATACAGATTAAGATCGTAAAAACATAAGCTTGTAATATAGCTACACCTAATTCCAGACCGGTTAATTCAAGATGGAAGACCCATTGATATGGTCTTCAACCCATTAGGAGTACCTTCCCGAATGAATGTAGGACAAATATTTGAATCTTCACTCGGGTTAGCTGGGAGTTTGCTAGACATACATTATCGAATAGCGCCTTTTCATGAGAGATATGAACAAGAAGCTTTGAGAAAACTGGTGTTTTCTGAATTATATGAAGCCAGTAAGCAAACAGTGAATCCATGGATATTTGAACCCGAGTCTCCAGGAAAAAGCAGAATATTTGATGGAAGAACAGGGGATCCTTTTGAACAACCTATTATAATAGGAAAGCCTTATATCTTGAAATTAATTCATCAAGTTGATGATAAAATCCATGGGCGTTCCAGTGGGCGTTATTCACGTCTTACACAACAACCCCTTAAAGGAAGGGCCAAGAAAGGGGGACAACGGGTAGGAGAAATGGAGGTTTGGGCTTTAGAGGGGTTTGGCGTTGCTTATATTTTACAAGAGATGCTTAATATATCCCTTGTTTGACTTAAATCCAAAGATATGATGCTAACGTTCCAAAGGAACAAGCTGCTCAGACTAAGGGATACTTATAGGACTCTGAACCTATGAGAGAAGCAAACACTTCTTTGCTTTGCAGGAATTTTTCTTTTGTCTAAGAAGCGCGTAGGTTGTACACCAGCCATACGTAGCTGGAACTGTGATGGCCACAATGCTTAGCTATTGCCGATCCCCAAGACGCCTTTGGTTGAATGTTCACACCTGATCCACCGTCTGCACTTCCTACATTCACTCCCGGAAATTGAAACAGGAAAACAGGAATTGTAACCTCCCGGTCTGCTGTAGTCAGCCTCATGGTGTGCCTGACTGGCGAGTCTGCCGTCTCCACGGCTTTCCCTTTTCCGGGCTGCTCCTCAAGCCTGCGAGTGCCGATCTTCGCTTGGGCCGGCTCCGAGGCTCTACCCTGGCTTTTCATTGGTTTCTCCCAAGGGCCTTTATCGTATCGCGCGCATCTTCCATCAATCAGGGGAGGCCCCGTCTATTTCATTTTAGACCTTGGATGTGAATTAATTACTAAATTAGACCCAAATGGCATTTTCGTAATTATAGGATGTTGGGCATGAACACTGGGCGTTCCCTGGGAACGTTGGGCGTAGGTTTCCAGAGTGCAAACCCTACTTTTTAGGGTTTGTTCCCTATTTCATCATCATTAAGTCCCAAACCTACCTTCTTTCATCAGCCTCCAACCCACATTCGTCCCCAAGCAAACCCTAATCCACTCTTAGAGCCTTTTTGAGAATTTTGTGTGTGTTTTGGTGACTTTGAAGGAGAGAGGAAGAAGAGAAGATCATCTTGGAGGAATCGGACTCTTTAGATCCAGAATAGCAACACCATGGCATCTTTTGGAGGTAAAAAGCTTTGAACTTGATGAAGCTATGCTTAGATCTAGTTTAGCCATGAAGTTTGTGTTCTTTTGGTCCCATTAGTTTTGTATTTTGAGTATGAGCTACTCCAGTCCTTTTAAGTTGTCCTTTCAGACGTTTTGGGGTGTTTAGAAGCATAAAAATGTGGTCTTGGTCATTATTTCCATTCCATGCATGAGTTACAAGGTCTTAATGGGTTAAGTAGTTAGAGTTTTGTGTTTGGGCACTTAATGGCCATGCAAGACCATAAAGATGGAAACTTTATGGTTAAGGACGTTATTTTAGGATTGGATCTAGATTATGGACAAAAGAGATTAAGGATTAAGCTCTTTATGGAAAGGAAAGGACTTAACCACGAACGTTGGGCGTTCCCCAGGAGCGTTGGGCGTTCATGGTCAAGCAGCCCTTTTTCTGGTCAAGCTGTGTACGCTTAGCTTACAAGCTAAGTATGATGGGCGTACTCAGCACTACTGACCAAGTTTGACTTTTGACTTTTTGGACTTTGACCCAGATTTTGACCAATTTTGTCCATAGGGTATTTTGGGTATTTGATAATAAGTTAAGTTGGGCTATGATTTGAATAATAGGTGACGGGTAGAGCCGATATCCAGAGCAGAGATTTATTCAACTATTTTCTCGAACTGAGAGGTGAGTTTTCCTCACTGTACTTGTGGGTCGAAGGCACCAATGTCGGCCCACTAGATTGTGTATCCTGGTTTAGAGGATGTTGATATGTTATAGAGATCTAGAGATCGGTATCCTGGTAAATAAGATGTAGTATGCAGTAGTGATCGGTAGATCAGCCTGTTTGTCTGATGATTGGTTATATGTTTATCTATCTGCTAGTTATATGTTATATGTTATATGTTATGTATATATCGACATAGTATTGTTGGGTTGAGGTAGTTCTGCTTTCTGCGGTAGCCAACAAACCCGGGAGCAAGCCAAACATAAGTTGTGGGCCCGTAGGGCAAGCCAGACTTATGTTGTGGGCTCGGGAGCAAGCCAGATATGAGATATGGGCCCGTTAGGCAAGCCAGACTCATACTGTGGGCTCGAGGGTAATCCAGTCTATTAGCTGAGGACCTAGTATATGTCGTTATATGTTATGTGTGTTGGTACTTTGGGGGAACTCACTAAGCTTTGGCTTACAGTTTCAATTTATTGTTTCTGGTACTTCAGGTGACTGTGGCAAGGCGAAGCGTGATCGTGCACATCCTTTGGTTTTATGTTGTTTGGATTTTGGGATACTCTGATTTTATATAATACTTTTGAAATAATGGTATTGTAAACACTTTATGGATCAATTAGGTAGTTTTTGAAAAGTTAAAATTTATCATGATTTTTGGGATGTTACATGCTTGAAGCTGAAGGGTTTTGAGCATTCTAACACTCCTAAGGTGTACATGCAACCCTAGAAACCTTGGATCTATGTTTTACTAAGATACATGCAAATTTGATTTTCCAAGGTTCTTAACCTAACTAGCATGGCATGGGGAACTTTGAAACATAAAAGCTAGTAGAAGAACATACCTTTCTTGTTGCTTGGATTCCTTGAGAACCTTGTGAGCCTAGCACCTCAAATGTGATGCCTCAAATGTTTCACACAACACCACAACTATTGGAATAACTTTGAGAGAAGTCCACACTCACTCAAAATTGGCTAGCCCTATTGTTCTACACATAGTGCCGATTTTGGTAGCCCATGGGGTCCTTTTATAGTTGTGTCACAAGTAGGATTACAACATGTAAACCCTAATTGACATGGCTTTTCATATTCCATGATCCATGGGTTTATAACCTCCATGGACTATCCACAGAGCACCTTATGGGTTTTAGCCCAACTTAATAAACCATGGATCATTAGCCCACTATATAAGAATGAATGATTTACACAATCAACCCCATATATTTAATTAGTCTCCTTTTGATCACCAAATTAATTCTAAATTAATTCTTGATCAATACTAAATAAATAATATTATTAATATATTAGAACTTATAATATATTAATAAACCATAAGTGTCCTTTCTCTCATTTAGTCTATCCAAGTGCCGCAATGTCATGCAACCCAAATGGACCATGCCAACCGGGTCAAGTACATTCCAGAAATAGTTATGAACTTAGACACCTAATCCAACAGTCTCCCACTTGGATAAGTCTAATAACTATAACTGCAAGAATGACTTCAGGAATCGATCAGCAATCGTAGCTCTTTCAAAGTCTCGTGGAACTAAGATGATGATAATATGCCATTTAAGATAAGTGATCATATAATCCTTTGTTCTAGATATCAGCCGGACAAATACATGGAACAATGTCTTACTTATTATCCAACAGTTTGTTTCCCGATTTCCGATTTGTTTGACATAGAACTTAATCGAACACATCAATTTAGTTCTGATCGGGCCCGGTACATAGGTCACACCAAAATCGTTGAGGGGCCCAGATATCGCTTCTAATCCAAGAAGGAACAGATAAACTTCGACTCGTATGCTTGTTCTACTACTTGTTGAATTATACACAAAGGCACGTTTTATAACATCGAGTTACCAAATGCTTTTTCATACAATCAATGTATAACCAACTCATAGTCAACAACTCATATCTCTAGGTTTGAAGACTTATATGATATTACCGTCTCACGGTCACTCGAGATAAATTCCATGAAGTGATACAATTGAGCGTGGGTTGAATCCAATACTCAGAACTTATGAGCACTCATGAATGGTGTAGCAACTCTCGCTATGTCCAACACTTTAGACATCTACAAGCCAGCTTCATGACAATCTTGATTCATATCTACTTCCAACATATGATCGACTGTGGAGAATTTGAATAATATGATATACCATAACATAATTATTCTGGAAGTCAAAACATGCAAAATGAAATGATAGTAAACGATTGATAGAAGATAGCAACACTTTACTTATAAATAAAGAACAACTTTTATTTATCATCAAATGTCAATTACACTTTACAAATTTCAAAGCTATCTAATTTCTAAAACTAATATCATCCTTTAGCCCTATGCGCCTCGCATGTTGAAGATGCTTAACCCTACCCAGTCCCTTCGTGAGGGGATCTGCTGGGTTCTCATCCGATGATACCCTCTTTTCCACAAGGGGTCCTTCTTCTATTCGATGTCTAATGAAATGGTATTTTCTATCGATGTGTCTGGATCTTCTGTGATCCCTTGGTTCCTTGGCTAAGGCAACTGCACTTTCACTATCACAGAAAATCTCCATAGGCTCCTTTATAGCTGGTACAACTCCAAGGTCTCCAATGAAGTTCTTTACCCATATAGCCTTCTTTGCTGCCTCGCTTGCTGCTATATACTCTGATTCGCAAGTTGAATAAGCCACTATCTCCTGCTTGGAACTTTTCCAAGTAATTGCTCCTCCGTTTAAGGTAAAGACCCAGCCTGACTGAGGGCGGAAATTATCCCTATCAGTCTAGAAGCTAGCATCACTATACCCCACTACTCTCAATTCATCACTCCCACAGAGGGTAAGGACCCAGTCCTTAGTCCTCCGCAGGTACTTGAGAATGTTCTTTACCGTAGTCCAGTGAGCCTTGCCAGGGTTCCCCTGATATCTGCTGACTATGCTCAAAGCAAAGGCCACATCAGGACGAGTACAAGTCATAGCATATATGATCGAACCTACAGCGGAAGCATACGGTACTCGACTCATCTCAGCTATCTCAGCATCTGTACTCGGGCTCTAAGTCTTACTCAATCTGGCATTACTCTGGATCGGTAACTCTCCTTTCTTGGAATTATGCATGCTGAACCTATTCAGCATCTTATCCAAGTAGGTACTCTGACTAAGTCTAATTAGTCTCTTACTCCTGTCTCTCAAAATCCTTATCCCTAGGATATAGGCAGCTTCACCAAGGTCCTTCATAGCGAAACATTTCCCAAGCCAGGACTTCACTTCCTACAAAGTTGGGATGTCATTTCCTATTAGTAGTATGTCATCCACATACAATACCAAAAAGCTAACTATACTCCCACTAGCCTTGACATAGACACAAGATTCATCTTCGCTCCTAGAAAAACCAAATTCTTTGACTTTCTCATCGAAACAAAGATTTCA